GAACCTAAAATTGCTATGAAGGTAATTTTAGACCCCAAAATTTGTAAAATTTAGCCAATACGAGCATAACAATTCAGCTCCACTTTCCAAAAGACACGGTGACCGTTAATTAATTATTTAATTAAAAATAACGATACATGGGCCGGCTGGTTGTGCGTAATATAAGCAACACGAAAATGTCAACAACAACAAAAAAAAAAATTGGCATTGGCTAAAATACGACGTAAAAAGCGTTATTTCGTTTTTTTCAATTTTTTCAAAATATCTAATATTTGTGGTGGTTTACAAGTATTATAAATCGTTTGATTTTAGCCGGCCGTCTCTGAACCGATTTTGATCAAACAAAGATGATTTTGTCATTTAAATATTATGTTCTTTCAAATTTGACAACCAGTTTTTGATTATCTCACACAAAAAATAGTTTGTGTAGCGCCCTCTGCAACAGAACTCAACTATCCCTTAAAAGAAAAGAAGTAGACGTTTTTTGTCGGACATGAGAATTTGTCGGTCTTTTTTTATATTCTGTACATCTAACAAGTATTTCATAAGTATTCCAAATAAGTTCACCAATTGTAATCATTGCATTGTTCTATTTGAGATCCACACGGCGTGCTAAGAGCAGAATAACAAAGCGAGTAAGAAGTAAAAAGAGGGAACGAGAGGGAAAGAAAGAGATAGTCAGAGAGAGAGAGAGGGGGGGGGGGGGGGTGAGGCAGGTAGATAGACAAATAAGCCAGTGTATAGGGGACATATTATGAACAGTGCGACAGGAACAGGAAGGTCATGGCCCTGTTTCATAAAACTTGATATCCATAACAAGTTACAATCTACTGTTATAAGCTACTGAAATCATGTCATCTGATTGGCTGAGAACAAACTTGATATCCATAACAAGTTACAATCTACTGTTATAAGCTACTGAAATCATGGCATCTGATTGGCTGAGAGCAAACTTGATATCCATAACAAGTTACAATCTACTGTTATAAGCTACTGAAATCATGGCATCTGATTGGCTGAGAGCAAACTTGATATCCATAACAAGTTACAATCTACTGTTATAAGCTACTGAAATCATGTCATCTGATTGGCTGAGAGCAAACTTGATATCCATAACAAGTTACAATCTACTGTTATAAGCTACTGAAATCATGGCATCTGATTGGCTGAGAACAAATTCGTCATAGAACTTTATCAGTTGTTATAGATAACAAGTTTTATGAAACGGGCCCCGGATGTATTGTTTGTTTGTTTTACCTGACAGCTAGGAAGGCAGGTGTATGCTTATAAGTAATCAAACAGGGATCCGACGACTTTAAATACCTTCCGAAGGACTAGGTATAAATGAAACTAATGCATTGCCAAAGTGCACTAGCGCGTCGACTTATTTTAGAGCCCGTGACTTCCCGATTACGAGAACACTGCGCTACCTCAATTAAAGGAGAAATTGAGGAGAAAGTAGGAGTATAACGTTTTACGTGTAACAAATTATCTAAATGTACGTGGTGACACGGTATACAATACAAATCGCACCTCACACAAAGGAATTTTATTCAATACAATTAAATTCGATTTAAATGATTTTATATCTATAACACAATTAGAATATAGGAAAATGCGCAAACAAAATCATTATCAAATGACATTTGCAACAAGGCAAAGAAAATTTAACTTACTTGTAATTTCATACAATCTTAAATGTCGACAAGTAACCTAACCATTTTATAATACAAATTATGATAGCATATCATGAATGAAGTTGAGGTTAAAGGAAATTAGAAAATCTACTAAAAAGCAAAGCATATGATTGTACGGATTACTTAAGTAAGAAAAAAGCAAGGAAGGAAGAAAAGTAGAAGAAGAAAAAGAAAAGAAAAGTGGAGTAAAAAAGAAGAATAAAGGAAAGCAAACAAGAAGAACAAAATCCATGGAAAGTTCATTTGATTAATTACTATAAAATAAATACGAATTAATATCTGCTTGGCTATATTTCATGAGTAAATATATGTTTTTAGGCTTTATACGATGATAACAGGTGCTGTTTTAATCATGATGTATATGGCAAATGAATATTCATTAGCAAGAGCCAGAATGAATAAGAGCAAAAAGTGATGAGAGAAGATTAGGTGAGGAGGAAAGTGAGATCAGAGGAATGAGACGAAGAAGTTGTGAGTAGAAATAGATGCGTCTACAATATATAATAACAATAATAAGAATGAATATTACTTGTTTATATACCTCACTTAAGAAATCCAGCCATCTGATTGGTCGAAATTGCATTCATAAACTTTAACTGTTCCTGTAAAATTCCCGGTAACCATGGTTAAAACAGTTTAAAATCCCAATAACCATGGTTACCGGGAAAGTAGGTCAGTCTCCATTGTTACTCCATAGGTTTAAATGTTAAAAAATGGTTTGAGCGATCGAGGATACCGTATGTGTGCGAAGAATTGGTGGCTATATTTCACCAATTTTGTAATACAACTAGCAGCGAATCCGGGCTAACTCGCCCCACGGGACATCTCGCCCCAGCATCAAAGACTGGGTCGAAATGTCCCGACACGATTCATCGATCGAGAGATACCAATGTGTATATTTTTGTGCTCATTGTACATTTTAGACGATATGGCTGATATTTGTTCACATTCTTTCGTCCTGGCCGTTAATTAGCAGACTACTGGTATCTCTCGATCGATAAATCATGTCGGGATATCTCGATGGGGCGAGATGTCCCGTGGGGCGAGTTAGCCCGACTCCCTAGTAGCTGCCTGCAAGAACGACCGACTGTACTAGTACTAGGCCAAAATGGCTGAAGAAATGCTCCCAAGATTTTAACTTCTGGATGAGGATCAAATGCGAGACATGCTGACAGCAAGAACACCAAAAGGGTACGTGAAATCTTCCATGATTTTTTTTCAGTAGCCCTAGATCTAGATTCTGGTACGCGACAACCGGATGGTGGTGATTGTAGTGATTTGTAAGTCACGGACAGACGCAGATCCTTCCCGTAGAGATTACACACATCCCTGTGTACTTCCATTGGCCATTGCGCATTCGATCATTAATTACCAGAGATTCAAACTAATATTGCTCGTGATCCTAAAGGTGATACTCAATATAGTGAGGTGTCATATGAAAGCGCAGGTTTTTCTCCATATTCCCCACAGGGCCGGCCCACCCCCAAAATTGTAAAAATATCTTGCTTAGACTAGATTTTATCTAGAACCTAGATCTAGATGTAGTCTACTCTCAAAGAAACATTCATTAAAAACAACCGTGCAGATAAACTAGAAAAAGGCGAAGGTGGTGTCATCATTTTTTCGGCATATAAAAGTATTAATGACTGCTTTAATATTCGAGAAATAGTTGTTTTTATACGCTCTCGGGAAGGTTACAATTGGGCTATTGCCCTCGGCACGCCTCGGGCAATAGCACAATTCTAACCTTCCCTTGAGCGAATAAAAACAACTATTTCTCTCAAAGCAGTCATTAATACTATAATAGCGCATATCACTAACACAAAGAAAGTCCCTAAGCGCTTAGGCAAGAAGGAAATAGAGATAGGGTAGAATAGAAATGAACATTTTTGCTTGATATATGAAAATAGTTATTCACAAACAACAATAATGATACGCAATCCGTATATAGCTGACATGTAATAGATTGTACAGTCAGGTAATACAATTTGTTTAGTGAATATGAAATGAAAATTAAATTAAATGTGTACATGATACTATAACCGAAGAAGTCACTTAACAGCTTGAACGCAATTATCAACGTAAGAAAAGGTAGGTCTTCAGAAGAGTATTTAATGACTCTGTTGTGCTTGCCTGTTTTAAATGCATGAACTCTCGCAAAATTATCGTACAGATTAAATAATATCTATCAGACAACGTAACAGTATGTACATAATTAATTATTATGAGTGAAAATTGAACAAAATACAGTATTGTGCTGATATTTGGAGAGAATTTAAGGAAAAAAAAGTATATCCTTTAAAAGAGAAACTTCAAACGACTGAGAGGAGATACGGTGTATTCGTTTATAAGTGTGCCTATGCATGCATCTAAGCATTCATGTACCATAATGTAAGAAGAAAAACATCTTATTTAAAGGCCCACTGCACTACTTGTAGCTACTTGCGCCCTCTATATAACAAACAATGCCCAATCGGTGACCATTGGTCCCCCATGATCCTCTTTTTCTTATGTTAACTGAGAGCTGAGTTGATGAGATAACCCCCTGTCCAGTGACCTTGCAGGACGGTCTAATCCCTTCTGTAAACTAGTACTGATAAGCTTTAAAGGCCCACTACACTACTTGTAGCTACTTGCGCCCTCTATATAACAAACCATGCCTAATCGGTGACCATTGGTCCCCCATGATCCTCTTTTTCTTATGTTAACTGAGAGCTGAGTTGATGAGATAACCACCTGTCTAGTGACCTTGCAGGGCAGTCTAATCCCTTCTGTAAACTAGTACTGATAAGCTTTAAAGGCAGGGTATTTCATTAATAATGCATATATACGTTTACTGCCGTGTCCTGCTTATGATATTCCGACGTGTCGACAGCCATGTCCCGCAATGCAATACAGATATATTCATACGCAGGAGGCGCGTAATGTAATTATAGTTGGGAACATGAACCAGAAATCGCTCTATGTACTCCCCCACTATACATTACAGCAGTGGTAGACCAATGAAAAATCGCTAAAATACACTGCCTTTAATTGTCTTTAATATATAGAACGCCCTGGCATAAGACAAACTATGCTATGAATTCTGAAACTTCTGAATTACGGAACGTTTAGACAACAAACAGCCCTTGTAATATGACCCTCCCTTGAATTAACTTAAAGGCCCACTGCACTACTTGTAGCTACTTGCGCCCTCTATACAACAAACAATGCCTAATCGGTGACCATTGGTCCCCCATGATTCTCTCTTTCTTATGTTAACTGAGAGCTGAGTTGATGAGATAACCACCTGTCCAGTGACCTTGTGGAGCGGTCTAATCCCTTTTGTAAACTATGGCAGATAAGCTTTAAATTTCCTTTTCTTTTCGCTAATAGATGGAGGGGGTTGAAGATTTGCAGAAATGCTTTTTACCGTAGATTCCTGATTTGTTATCGAATGTCGGTGTACTGATATTTCCCTTATAGTTTGGCCTGACAAACCGTGGTAGTTGGATCCGCATTTGAACAAGAGCGGTCGTTCATTTGACCGTTGGACGTCCACATCACCACACACTTATTACCGGTAACTGGTCTATTTGGTCTCCAATCTATGAGAGAGCAAACAAAAAGGTGTTGGCACCCAATAGGATGCGATAGTCATTGTAGATGCTTAATATTGTAAGCGTCTGTAAAATGACACCTCCGTGGAAAGCTCCCCATTGAGTGGGGAATGTGCATCCTTTGTTTGTGGTCAATCCTGAATCTTATGACCGGGGTGATAATATTTATTCTGTAAACAGATATCGTCATAATTGTTATCATCATCTTCACCATCATCAATTTTATCATTATCATTCATCATCGTCTTCAATATTATTATTATCATTGTTATCTTGGTTATTATTATTATCATCATTATCATTATTATTTTTGTATCATTGGTATCATTATTTATTTTATAACTATCATTAATACTACTATTAGTGTTATTATTATTATTATTATTATTATTATTATTATTATTATAATTGTTATTATTATTATTATTATTATTATTATTATTATTATTATTATTATTATTATTATTATTATTATCATTATTATTATTCTATTATCATTAAGCCTTCGTGGTAATCACATCGATATCATCCAACATTGAGCTGACATCAGCTTATTTATTATCACAATATGTCCTCTGCACATAATGCGCTATTTGATTATGTTTCCATTCGTTTTAAATATCGAAAACTATATGTAGCTAACAATAACATACATTGTGAATTAAATGCACACAGAAGATGAATTTATCGGACTACATACACATTTGGTCCGAATCTTTTAAGCTATCTCTATTTGTTATATGAGAGCCTCTAGAGTGCAATCCTTTGCAGGGGACAAAGAAAAAAATGTGAAAAAAATATTCTTCATCTTTACCAGAACTCAACGTGCTCTTCCTGTGTGATAGTCCAGTGGTATACAGTACCGAAGCTGTGACGTCATACAAATCTATTTTTGGAATTTCTCAATTTTTCGGGAAGTTAAGAAAAAATTGAGAAATTCTAAAAATATAATTTTGATGACGTCACACTTCACCGCTCTATAGCAAGGGTCTCGTAACCCGGAAATCATAGGTTCGAAACCAAGTCGATGTTGTTGTTTGCTTTTTTTTTCCTGAGGTAAGGCATTTTTCCTTATTACCGGGTCCTTTGGTGGGAACTTGAAACCGCCAGTTCACTGGTTGCTTATTTACAAGCATTTCATATGTTTGTTAAACTGACTGATAAGGAATTTGCATGCTTGCAAGGAAGCAAACATGGGTGCTGGCGGCTTTTGAAAATACACTATGAGAGACTTGGTAATGACTATTAGTGCCTTCAGATATAGGGCACTAGACAGTGCTTCTACTTAGTTTTGAACCCGGAACCTGTCGGTTACGAGACCACTGCTGTAATATTGAGACACCGTGCCTCCTGGTATACATATACATTCTTTCTTAATAGCACTCAGGTAAAAACGAGCCATCATCAAACCGACAACTTACTTCGGTAGTCACTTGTGGTTCCCGCTCTGTCCGTGTAACACATCCATGTCTTGATAAAATTGCAATTTATCCAGAACCTGGGTTCGCTCACATGAGGCTTCAGCAAATCGTACTCTTCCACATTCTCTATAAAAAGCAGAGAAGGCTCAACCGTTTCTCCGTTGCCCGTGGTAACTGCTTCCAGACCATTACAGTAGTCACGGGTAGTTTTCCAATCAACGTTTGTGGGTGGGTTCACGATCAGGAAACACTTCGTGTGTCCATACACCCAACCGACTGGGCAGACTGGGATTGTAAAGTAGAAAAGTACAACATCAGTGAAACTACTCATATTTAGTTCATAGAATGCTGGGCATTTCTTTTATTTCATGCATTTTTGTTTATTCTATGCATTCTAGATGTCCCGAAAATATTTCGTTAGATAATAATAGTAATAATATTAATAATAATTTACAATCCACTCCAAATTTTATTTAACCATTTTTTAATTTTTTTTTTTGCCTAATTGATAGTGGGCCCGACAGCCACTGAGCAGCGCCAGATCGACCTTGCTCTATCCCCTTATTGTTGAACACCAAATGAGGTAGCAGCAACTGCCGTCTTTTAACGTCTTTTGGTATGACGCGGCCGGGGTTCGAACCCACGACCTCCCGGTTGTGAGGCGGACGCTCTACTGACCTTAACATTTTTGTTATTTTTTTTGCTTCTTATCTTTTGTTTTGTCTTGTCCTGTTTTTGATGTTTTTAAGAAATATATATATATATATCTTGCTTGCTTGCTAAGTGCCTTGTCTGTTACTTCTTGACTGTTCCAGGCATTGGCTAAGAAGGCTTTCCATCTACTTCTGTCGTTGGTTCTTGCTAATATGACGATACCTTATTTATCAGTGAGCTTAATGAACTTATCCATGTATATGATGCGCTGTGCATTCAATTATCATAAAAATTGAATGCCCAACACACTGAGGTTGTCTTTTCCTTATGAGGTTAAGACGGGATCTATCGACACATCCCTTAATAAGGACTTCCTTTTTTGATTGCCCTTTGAGTTGCTTCATTTTCCATAACATGACAGGAAAATCTTCGATGTTGGACTACACTTTCACGCCATATGCTTGTATAATTTCGATGTAGACATTTCTGTCATGTCCGTGTTCCGCGCATGTGATTTTTCATCAAGACTGAGCCAACTATTATAATAATTTATGACTAAAAAACTGCACAGTATACAATAGTATGTTTTTGTTACATAATCAACCTGTCCAGTTCCTTCCATAGGATCTCAATATACAAAATGGCACGTAATGTCAAATGGCACCGTTAACATGATTACATATAGTTTTGAATAAACTATTTACAATGGCCCTTTCCATCAGCTATTAAAATGTGCGAATTAAATTACGATCACGTCTTGTGTAATCCGAATATGACCTTTAGGTGACACGTAATAAAGGCAGTTAAATTACCCTTGAGTAGATTTATCGAAAGCGTTTGGAATCATGTTCAAGTAGTTACAATTTCAGAATAATAGCGGCTACGCCCAGGGGACCACAAGTGAGGGGGAAGGAAATACTTTGTGAACCCTTTAGTCTTCCAAAAGGTCCACAAGGCCGAAAACACACAGTGAAAAACAAAGCATGTCGTCAACAAGCAAGACCAAAGCATACCCACACACTCACACATACACACACACAAGCTAAAACTGCAATCGCAATATTTACACGTTGGGAAATTATTCCACAGTTAGAGTCGAGTCCACGCATAACAGAGAGTTTTCTAAATAACTTACCAAGCTGCTCGCAATGTACTCCGATGTATCCTCCGAGGCACGAGCAGCTATATCCTTCAAGCTCTTCAAAGCAAGTCGCTCCATTAAGACAAGGATGGGAGTAACATGCTTTAAGAAACAGAAATCATGTGTTAAGAGTCAAACAGCACAATACGCACTGTTGGTTATAAAGTTGGAATACCTTGCTCTTTTGGTGAAGTGCCTGTGATAATAGGGTTTATTCTGGATAGTAAGCAAATAACTACCGTTGGTGAAGGTGATGGGACAAACTATCACTTCCGAGGCGATCTGGATGTAGCTATCTTTCCGAAGCGAAGCTGAGGAAAGATAGCGTATACATTCTGATCGACGAGGAAGTGATAGTTTGCCATCGCCTGAAACCAAAAGGTGATTATTTGCTTTATATTCCACATCTAAAACAATTTAACTACAAAAAGAAAAGGACGTGTATGCATCTACATAAAAGACACCAGGCCCAAATTCACACCAAAAAAGTTTAACCCAACCCCTTGAGGGTACAGTGCGCGCATGTGTTTGCTTGTAATAATTATTGCGCTCATTGGTAATGCTCGCTTAATTACGCCTGTTTAAGTGCGCTTTTGGATAATCTTCAGTGAAAGTGCGTTGCTCTGTGTAGATAGTACCTCTATTTTCAGTGAAAGTGCGTTGCACTGTTTAGATAGTGGTACTACTACACAGTGTCACGAACTTTTTGCTTCTCCCATCAATAATGGGCGAAATATCTTTCATCACGTGATTTACTTTTGACAAATCGTAGAGCAAGATTCTTAATGTAGAGGTGTTGTGGTCGAGTGGATACGTCGCCGGACTGTCGATCACAAGGTCCGCGGTTCGAGTCCCGCCGCGGCACTAATGTCCTTTGGCAAGACATTGATCTGCATTTGCCACACTCCACCCAGGTGAAGTAAATGGGTACCTGGTAGGAATTTATTCCTTGAAACGCAGCGCGCGTAACAGCTGCACTGCTAAAGCCAGGGTAATTATGCTGCATTATTGTAGAGCGCTTAGAGACTTCTGATAAAGTAAGTGTTAGGCGCTATATAAGCAAATATAATTATTGTTATTAATATGTGGAATATAAATAAGTCTATATAATTTCAGAACTTTACTTAACAAATTACTATGAACTTTTGTATTGATCGATGAAGTACTGAAAATAAATTAACTTTTGTTGATAAAGAATAAACCACATTCAAACAATTCTTTCAATAAAAGAGGTAAAATAACAAAAAGTATTCCTACCTAATGGGCAACAAACAATATTACACTTGCTCATAAATCTAAACTGTACAACCATCGGCGTAGATACGGAGGGGGCACTTGCCGCCCCCAACAAATGGCCACACGTAGAGGTGAAAGCGAGGGGAGAGATGAGATAATATAGAAACAAAGATTGTTCGAAACTCTTTTTAAAAGTTGTAATATTATATAAATTAGTAATTTGTGGAAATATTCTGCCCGAATATAGGCATGATTCCGTCAACATGGCGCCAAAATATCACTTATTAAATATTCTATTTGTTCAAGTTCAAGTTCAAGTTCAAGTTTTATTTCAATTCAAGTCCATAAAAAACATATAAGATACAGATTATATACAATATAGAAAACACAAAATACACACAAAATGGAAACATGTCTACAAATATATCGGAATTATAAAAAGTTAAACAGCAATAGAAATGAATTGGGGAAACTGCAAATAAAACCATAAGGTTCTGTCGAGGCAGCTCCCTGTTATTAAAAGATACATATACAACTTCCAACAATTGGCTATAAAAAGTATAACAATAACAAAACAGTGTACAAAACATAGGAGACGTATTAACATGCAAATATTATTATAGATTTAAAAACAGATGAAGTATTTTTTTAGTTTAGATTTAAAAGCGTTTAAGAAAGCAGTATCACGTATATCTTTGGGGAGGGAATTCCATATTTTCGGGCCAGTGTGTCTAAAAGTAAATAAGGAATTTGTTGATGGACATTTTTCAATAAAATAGTTATCAGGATTTCTAGTATTATAATTATGAACATATTTTTTACATTTCATCATAGTGGTAAGATTAATCGGCAGTTTATCAGTTTTATGTTTAAAAACCATGAGTGATATACAATATTGATTCAATTGAAAAATATTTAAAAACTGTAGTTGTTGAAATAATGGTATTGAATGGGCATTGAAATCAGACATAAGACATATTCTTACTATACGCTTTTGTAATATATGCAGTCGTTGTAATCTCGTTGGGTATGTGTTGCCCCATACAACATTACAATACATTAAATACGGTAAAACCATTGTATTATACAATAAAATCAAAATACTTTGTGGCAAGATATGACGTAATTTGCTGATGACACCAATATTTCTTGAAATTTTGTTTGAAATGGTAAGTATATGAGCATTCCAAGTTAAATTTTGGTCAATAATTACACCTAAAAAGCTAGTTGATTGCACTCGTTTTATCGGAACATCATTCATCTTTATATTTAATACATTCAATGAATCAGCTGAAATAATTTTTTGCTTATAATGAAAATATATAAAATTTGATTTAGATGTATTCAAAGACAATTTATTACTATTGAACCATTGCGATACATGCTGCAGCTCATTATTTAAAGTTTGACATAAAATATTAATATCTTTATGAGAATAGAGGATATTGGTGTCATCAGCAAAAAGGACAAATTTCAAAATGTTTGAACAATAATTTAAATCATTTATGTACAATAAAAATAAAAGAGGACCTAAAATTGAGCCCTGAGGGACTCCACACGTGACTTGCATTGGGTCAGATAAAACATTGTTATATACAACTATTTGGTGTCGATTATTCAAATAATTTTTCAACCATGTGTAAGCAACACCTCTTATTCCATAGTAATTCAATTTATCTAACAAAATATTGTGATCTATAGAATCAAAGGCTTTGCTTAAATCTAAGAAAAGACCTACAGTGTGTAATCTATTACTTAAGGAAGATACTAAATAATCATGAACATCAATTAGAGCCATTTCAGTTGATACATTTTTCGTAAATCCATATTGGCAAGAATGTAATATTGTATTGTTTAATAAAAATGTATTCAAACGATTATATACAATTCGTTCTAAGATTTTTGAAAAAAAAGTTAAAACTGAGATTGGTCTGTAATTGCCTAAATTATGAACATCATCTTTTTTGTATATTGGGGTGACTCTCGCTATTTTCATATCAGATGGAATAATTCCTGTACTTAAAGACATATTAAAAATATGAATAAGAGGTTCTAAAATATAAACAATAACTTTCTTAATTACACATGGATTAAAATCATCTACTCCACAACTTTGAGTACATTTTAATGATTGCACAATTGTAGTTATTTCATTTGCATTAACAGGTTTTAGAAATAAAGATGTAGCACATGGTTGAGGCAGAAAATCTCTATAATTTACAATATTATTTACAGGAATAGTATTGCATATATTCAATCCAATATTAATAAAAAAATCATTAAAAGAATTTGCAATATCA